AGTCTAGTAAAGAAAATTATTCAGATACTTTTTTCCTGGTTAAAGAAAAAGGATTAATTTGCTTGGAATATAAAACAGGAAAAGCAACTGAACAAACAGAACATCTGTAGCCCTGGATTCGCTAGGGTTCCCTTAATTGTTGCTCTAAACTTGCAGTATTGTTATAAACTCTACCATTCACCAGACTGGAGAGAAAGCTCTCCTGCTCTCCTCACATGAGCAACTTCTCTCTACTCCTCTCTCCTTAGCAGCAGAGGCTTGAATCAAAAGGAAACTGTATTACAGAGAATAAAAGCAGAGGGTGTTAAGCTGGTTATATATTCAGTGAATAAAGCGACATAATTACAAAGAGGGGGAAAAAACGCAGAAGCAGAACACAAAGCTGCTGTGTTCCAGAAACCAGCTGAATAAAGAAAGTGCTATTTCTGAAAGAGCAGCTCTTTGAAACTTCAGAGCCTGATTCAGAGCCCACTGGTGCCAGCAGACGGAGTCCCGCTCGCCTCACTGAGCTTTAGATCAAGCCTTTCTAAGTCTTTAAATTGTTCCACTTAACATTAAAGAATCACATATTTTCCGTCAAGGTTAATACAAAAATACAGGAGTATTTTTAATAACAGAGATCAAAGTTTCCTTAAAGGAAACATTTGACAAGATGTGCAAAAAATACTGCAATAAAAGTTTCACCTTTGGGCACATGTATCTATATTGCAGCTCATTACAGATGGGAAAAATAGGTCTTATTTACTCATTTGATGAAAGAATAAATTTTGATGAGCCTCATGGAACTCAAAACCACTAAAAGTTTCTGTTATTAAAACCAAAACACGGTATTACATAGCACTTCAGCTCCATGAATAAGCTTTTAAGATCAAGTGAGGGAGAACTAGTGAGCAGATTCTAAAGAAAAATGGACACAAAGAAATGTGACCACCATTAAAGGAAGTTTTTATTGACAGTCTATCAAATTCCCTTTTTTCATGCTATTCATTCTGCATAATGCTAATAACTCTCCAAAGTAAGCATCAAATTGGGATCAACCATTGATTCAATTTCTGATACAACATAAGCCCTTTCTACGAGTGGGAAGCCCACCAGATACCTCCAACACATTAACAGGTTTTGAAAAGGAATCCTCGTACTTTCTATTAAATTTGTGTGCACATTTACATGTGCGGTATAGCAAAAGTACTCACCGTCATACAATGCCACATTCTTGCTCGCACACATGTTGATGCATGTAAACATTTGGTTTAGATTTGTATGGCCTACATGACTCAAAGGACTCGTTTGGGAGCCGTGTATGGTGGGAAAAAACAAATCAGCCCAGATGATGATTCATGGGGCATGGATTGTTTTTATTAGGAAAGAACAAAACACTAAAGCCAAAAGAATCCTATTTTAAAAGGAGGTTTCCACAGCGAAGGCAGACTCCTGCCTGGATCTGGCAGACATCCCGCGGGCAGACCCAAGATACTGCACCTAGCAATAATGCCGGCGAGCTCCAGCAGCAGCACCCGGTCACTCTATTCCCCCAGAAAAAAAAAAACAGAGAGAATTCAAGGGGGAAAAGCGACTCCCAGCTATGGCTTGCCAGGCACATGTGAGAGGACAGCCTAACTACAAGCACAGATCGGGTCTCTGTTTCAGAGTTATTCGTCCTACACCGACCACTGAAAAGCGATGCAGCCCTATAAAGCCTGGTGGACATTCACACACCTCGGAGGCAGACGTCAGCCAGAGCACGTGTGTTGGTCTGCTGGCTTTAACTGAACCGCCTGGTGACGCAAGCAGAGCGGTTGACGCTGGAAAAGTAGTGATTTAATAAAAACTTGAGGATTTGTCCTCTGGTTCAGTCCCACAGGAAAAAAGACTCCCATTGACAATAGGCACAAAAATTCCCCCAGTCACTTGCAAAGGCCGTAAAACTACAGCTCACCACAAGAGCTGTTTCGGCTTGAAGTCACAGCCAAGGCTGCAGCAGACTGCTTTCCTGTTCAGTTTTTCCCAGCGCCGCAGGCTTTGCCAGATTCCTGCCCCTGCTTCTAAGAGATGAAGAGTTTCGTTTGCATGGGTGTTCACTGAAATAGCAATCGCATTTTCCTTAAGAAATGGGGGAGCAGAAGAGGCTCTGTACGTCCCAGCAAGCCTGGTGAACTGTTCCCAGCTAGCCCCGGCTCCCTGCCCTTTCCTCCTGATGTTTCCAGCTTCCTCCCCTTCTCCTAGCTGCCCAGCTGCTGTGGCCACAGCTTCTGCTTTTGTGCGGGACTCAGTTCCCCATTGTTTCTGCAGCTCTCCCAGAGAGGCAAACTTTTTTCCATATATGCTGATTATCAGAGATTTGGTTCCTGTCTTCCCATTTAAAAATATACTGCCTAAAGCTCAGCTGCTCCTTATCAGACACTGCTCTCTCCCTCATACAATGCTCTGCTCCATCATAACACAAGCTCTGACAAACTCATGGAGTACAAGAACCTCCTGATCTCTCCAAATACCCCAACTGACACGACTAGTACTGTGTAAGGCCTGATTTTACTTTTGTTCTGAGAAACTAGTGCTGATTTCTTATAGGAAAGTAATTTAATAGTATGCATAATGGCATATAATGTGATTTCTAATTTTTCTCCAGGCTTCATTTAAGCAGATATGTGGCACATATTGACAACAGCAAGCTCTAAGGCTCATAGTAATGGCTGTGACTATATTGGATGCTGTTCTACCTCCAGTAGAGATAGACCCCTAGAGATGCCAGAAAGAGGGAGAAAACCCCAAATCATGTGAAAAGAGCACCTGCTCACTCATCAGGTTTACTCTTCGGCATTCAAACTTTCCAATGACAAACTTTTGAGTACTGAATTGCCAGCAGCAGTATAGGAAGAACAAGAGCACCTGCTCACTCATCAGGTTTACTCTTCGGCATTCAAACTTTCCAATGACAAACTTTTGAGTACTGAATTGCCAGCAGCAGTATCAGGAAGAACAATGTTAAAAAACAAAAACCCCATAATGACCGGTTCTTGCCATCACTCATACACCTGTCACACGGACACCTAACAGCACAGTAGCTCAGTTTTTGAGATTCAAGTGGTCTTCAACCAGGACAGCTAATTTCATGACAATTAGAGAGCTGTTTCCTCTGCAGGTGCTTTACCGTGAGCGAGTGATGAAGGCCTCAAACGCCTTTTGCAACTGATTTCACGCCAATCTTCCCATCTGGAAAACGAGACTGTGATTTAAACTGCGAAGTCTGGTGTTTCGGTTCAGAATAGTTAACAGCCCCAACCCAGCGAGCATCAAGGGACGTCTGGAGCAGCCGCAGGTTCTGCTGCAAAGGGAAGAGCTGGATTTCATGGGTTACTGGGGAAGGTGGAGTCCTCTGCAGCCTGCCTGATGCCCAGGTGGCACGGGCTGTGGAAGGTCACCGCTTCAGAGCCTAAACCACAGAGGCTGAGCTGCCAGAGTCAGTGTGCCACTGTAAGCCCCTTATGCCTCAGAAACTGCATCTTCATTTGAAAAGAGGAACTAAATCTAATCCCCGCTTCCATTTCCCAGGACAGGAACCGGTCAGGTTAACTGTTAACCTGGCAGCCTGTTTGGACCTGTCTATGTAGAGACGCTCTGGAAAGTTAAGGTGAATTAGCTATAAGAGTGAGGGTGGTATATATTTTTTTCATTTCTCTCTCCGAACTGCTCAACCCCACCTTTTCCCTAAGGAAGAGGATTAGCACGTTCTAACATCAGTATGTTGTTAAGTGATATGTTCCAACTTCCTAATGGTCCTGTGCGCACGCAGTTGTAGAAATAACCATTGTAGGTGCTCTCCTACAACTGGCAGGACATGTAGCCAAACTCTGAAACACAGGGCCCCAGACTGTCTTTAAGACAGGTGGTCTGTAAAATGCAATTGCTGGTTCAGTGACTCTTCCTCCGAAGGTTTTGTAGCCGGAGTTAAAGAGTGAGAGAGCAGGGACCCCTTGTCTCCCTATAGCTGCTTTGTCCAAACAAAGCTGTCACATCCCTTTTCTGCTCATCACTATCCATAGAGAATGGCAGGATCCCTTGGTGTTTAACTGGTGAACTTCTGTAAACACACCATCTGAAATAGTGTGTTGAATACATGCATAGTTTATCAACAGTAATTGCAATTACTAATTAATCAGATGTCAATCATCACAATTTTTTTTTCATTTCCCATTACAGTTATTACTCCTCACTTCCTGTCAGTTCTCGTCTTGGATTTTAACCATCAAACTTCAACCAACAGTACACTTCCATGTCCTAACTTTAAACTTTTGAAAATGAAGAGGTTCACCTACACTCTGGGATTAACAGACGTCTATATAATTCTGACTTGGAAAATTTACCAGAGTAGTAAAACGCACATGTCCTTTCTATAAACGTAAAACTAAAACCCAAGAAAACAACCCTCATTTTTCCAATATTATTTTCATGCAGGTGATGGGAGAAATTATTTCAAAGCTAGTCTAATGAATAAAATCCAATCAGTTACTATATTATCTTGAAGAAGTAATACTTAGGAAGACACTGATCATTAATGGAGTTTATGTAGGATTAAGTTTTCAGAAGCAGTCTGCCTCAACCTGATGAGTCAGTCATTAGGCATCTGAAATGGCAACGTGCCGAGAAAGGCAATTTGACATTTAAAGCGACATTAACCTGCAGGTTATCGCGAGCTGGAAATTTCTCCTGCTAAATGAAAGGACTGGAAATGGAACAAATGCATCAAAGTTCAGACAATCAACCCTTTTGTAACAAAAACTCAGATAAACATCCCAAATGAAAACAAATGAACTGGGAGTGGAGGGAGAAGCTAGCAAGCATTTTCCACTTCCCTCATCATCCAGATAGAGAAAAAAAAAAAGAAAAAAAAAAAGAAACAAAATAGAAGGCCTTTCTGCATTTCACTCTTCCTTGGCACTTTTACAAGCAGAGACTTTAAAAGACCTACTTCAAATTCCTTTCCCATGTCTTTCTTCTGCTAGGAACTGGTGTTCCTTCATGCAGTCCCGGCTGGTAACATACATAGAAGCCTGCATGAAGGAGAAGTACATTGTCAACTCCCAACAGCCCTGTCTAAACGGAGCACCAGACTGCCAGAAGATCATGTGAGTATCTTAAATAAAACCAATGAAGGCAACACAATTTTCTCTGAAGTATCTAAATGATATTTTCAAAAGTATTTAATCACACACTTTAAAAAAAATTAAAGCACCAACTCAGTTTAATACCAAAGTGATGTAGGGTCTGATTTACGTACCTAAGGTGATCAAGCATTTAAGTAGCCTGGGAGAACAACGGCCTTTCCAAGCCATCAAATACAGGACTACAAGGTGATTAAGCGATTTTGCAAATCTTCCCACAGGTTTATTCAGAAAAAAACAGAGACCATGCCTTTTCCATGATTTTCAGGTCATAATACACACACACAACTTAAAAAAATCTCTGCCTGTGGCCATCAGTGAGACCATTTACGTGGCAGGAGTTAGAGATGTGCCATTGCCCAAGTGCTTACTCTTCTTTCAGAAGGACTGGCTGCCCGACGAGTACTGGTGGAAGCCAACAGGGTACCTTAAGGTACCGGGACTGGTACATTTTCAAAGTTGGGAGACACTGAATCACAACACACTTTTGAAGTGAAATAATGTTTAATACTTACCTACATGTTCTCACACCTATGTAGTTACTTGATTGCAAAAATGCCTTTGTTATTTGTTAATACAATTCATTTCTCTTTCTCTGAACAAAAAAAAAGCTTCATGATTATTTCTAGTGGCGTTTTTAACAAATTTGTATCTTCCTCGGTACCAGTGACATTTTGGAATATTTGTTTAAAAATAAAACTTTCTCTACAACTAATCAGAATATTACAGAAGTTCAAGCTCAGTCTAAACTTGATTGCAAAGGACTCCATTACAATAAATATTACAGCTTGGTTTCTGATAGTTACATAAATTTCCCATCTGTGACATTTCTCAGACGTGTGTCAGATCAGTGCTAGCATGTTTGGAAAAAGTCTCTACCAAAGATCAGTAAAGCATGAGGCAGACCACTGGAGCCCTGCTCACTGAATAGTAAATACATTCTGTCCGCACGCAAGAATTTGCACACACCTCCTGTTGTAGAGAGTAGTCCCGAACAGCAGTCTTATATAGGGGAAAAAATTGCTGTGGACTGCCTAGACGTTTTACTAAGCAGCAGTGATACAGTTTATGACAAATTTCTTAACTGTGTCCTGCATTAGTCATCTAGGACGCGCTTGGCACCAGACTGCTGCTAGAGTCAGTGAATTTACCCCGAGTGACGCCAATTGACAATAACTTGCAATCTAATGCCCAGACCCTTACTCCCCAGGTACAGGACAGCTCTGAAGCCGGTCTATCAAGTGAAACAGAAGGTTTTGAAGTCTCTGCAGTGGAAATGCTGCCCTGGATTTATTGGCAAGGACTGTGAACAGCGTGGTAAGGAAAGCTAGAGAACAAGCGTGAGAATTAATGACTAAATGCCAGTCACGGTGGCAAGAAATGTTTGCCTATTTGTTTTCCCTTTTTTTGAAAATTGATGCCTTATTTTCTTTGGTCTGCTATCCCCCAAATCACTGGTACCTTGAAACAAGGAGTAGTTGTAATTAGCTGCACTTAGTGGCTAATAGCATTAGCTACTTATTCTTCTGCTAGTAGCACTTTTGTAATCTTTACACACGGATAAAGGTATTCATTTGCCCGGGGGGTCCGTCAGATGTGCAAGTCCATCTAGGAATGCTTAATTCCAGGTAGAAACTGGTGACTCAGAAAGCAACACTAGCATGTGAAATGCCCCTACGGTCAGTTTGCAGGATGGAGTCATCTGGCTAGGAAAAATCACAACGTACCCAAGTTCAAACAAGGTAAGCAGCATTCACTCTCCAGCCTGCACTGCTGCCTCCTCCCTGCTTACCCCGGCCACGCAGATACCAGATCCTAGAGCAGGGAGCAGCCCTACGACCCGAGAACACAGCCCAGGCTGTTACTTCCACGGAAGCTTTAACAATAGCCTTTACATACAATAAGCTGCTACAACTCTTTGCGCCGCTGAATAATGATGCATGCAGCTGCTAGAGTAAGAGACAGGGGACAGCGTGGTTTAAAAACTGGACTGCTTCGTGGCATTGGCAGGATTTTGCAAATAATACACCAAAAGTAGAAGGAGAATTTAAATGGATAAAAGGTAATTCACCCTAGTAGTTAAGGCAACCATAATTACTAGTCTATGTTACGCATAATAATACACCAAAAGTAGAAGGAGAATTTAAATGGATAAAAGGTAATTCACCCTAGTAGTTAAGGCAACCATAATTACTAGTCTATGTTACGCATAGACTGCGTAACATCAGGGAGGCAGAGAAGGAGCTAGATAGCTGGTTCCAAGCACAGTCTGCAGCGGACCTGCAGCCCGCGGCCAAACAGCCAAAAACTCCCCCACCGGGGGAGGCCAATAATGCAGAAGAATGGACGGTTGCAAAGGCAAGGACCAGCAGGAGGAA